CCTGCAGCTCCAGAGTTTTGTGGTTGGAACAAGAAGACGGGTTAATAGCTCGTCTCGTGTGTTGGACGCCTTCGTTTCTGATCTACATGCACCACAAAAGGGAGTCAGCTGCCTGCGCCTGATGCACCATACAATAGTTCTTACTTTCAGTTTTAATGAAGTTTCCTCAAAGAATTATGAAATATGCTGTAGAAAACGGCTTCTGTCAATACGAGGAGAGAAGTTAGCAACAGTCCTTCACCAGCACATGAACCAGTGCTACACCTGCTGCAGGTGCTACACCTGTAAGCCACGACGGTGCAGGAACAGCTGAACTTTCAGAGCTTTTCTGCTCGGAAAACTGACGGCATGGCTTCATGGACAGATGATGGTCACCATGTGAACGACTCTATATGAAAGTCTTAGTGATGTTAATGATTCTGTTGGTTTCATCGTTCAGATTTTGATTTTATGACCATTTACCGAGATTTTTATTAGCAAGTATTTGTTCTGCTCCAATAAATATAAATCATATCAATAATATTCAAAATTTCACCTTGATAAGAGAAAAACTGCACAAATTAATAAATGCCACCCAATTATTTATACTTATTTTAATATAAAATAAAAGTTTTTAGTCATTTTTCTTAAAACAAAAAAAAAAACCCTCCAGTTATTTTATAATCCAAAGATTTCCTTATACATTTATTCAAATGTTTTAATACCAACAGGTCCAAATGAAATCAAAGTCACATTTATTTCTATCCTAGAAGGTTAACAGATTCTTACACGACACGAGCACTGTGATCTGAAACCTCCACAAACAGGTGCCTGGAGTAATAAACATTTATACATGTCCTGAAATATTTGTGTGACTCGAGAACACAAACTTGTTTACTAAAAACGAGCAAGCTGAAAACTGATTTCCCAGAATGCCACACAGCTCTACACTGGAAGAATAACTTCCTTCCCCTGTAAGGGTTGGTGTGTAACGTGTTCCCGCTTTAGCCTCAAGTTCCACGCACCATCACTCCTCCCATCAAAGTGAAAATTAAAAACAATCATTTATTGCAAGTCTTGTCAGGCAGAGCGCGTTTCCACGAGGGCGTCGTCCCGGCACATTGATTCAAAAGGTCCCATCAGCACTGCAAAGATCGAGTTTTCCACAGCCAACACCAACACAAATATTAAGTAGAAGACCCCGTCACAAACCTGCTGCTGTCCCAACAGCTCGGGTGGTTTAAAGAAACGAAGTCTGTGAGGAGCCGAAGCTGAGAAACAAAAACGTCTCATTTAAACTCTTAATTTCATAATGTCAGAGGTCAATGATCCTTATTGATCGTCTGTGATACGACGAGCATGTGACGACTGTGAGGGAGCATGAAAGAAAGAACGGGATTAACATACCAGGCAACAAAACATCTTTGTGAAACGCACTCCGAGGTTTAGGCAGGGTTAATCCCAGCCACAGAGAGCAAAAAGCGTCACTCCTTCATGTTCGCCGCAGCAATCTTCTACCCAACGAGAATCTCGCAGGTTGAAGCATGCAGAAATGAATCATCAGCAGGCGGAACAACATAAAACACTATCCGGGGCTCTTTGGCGGGCCGCTGACATTCATCGTGATAGCTCATGTGTCCGCTTGTTCTTATGCAAGTTGTCAGTGAAATTCAAAGTCACAACAACTTCACCTGGTTTGTTTCATAATCTCTGCAGGTAGAAGCGACCGGGATCATGTTTACCGTCGGCCTCGTCAGGCTGCTGAATCACCCAAAATGTTGGCCGTGCAGAATAACTCCAGCTGCAAGTCATCCATGCAAAACTACAACCAAACAATTAAGCATCTAATGCGTTAATCCCCAGACACCAAACATCTGTAGAAGAAACTAAATAACCTCACCTCTGCTTTAAGTATCAGTCCAACACACCTCACAGCCTCCTCTACAATCTGTGCCAACACACACAAATGTCTCCCAATCCATCTCAGGCCACTCTGACTCCATTAAGCTGCTAAATCCACAAGAACTGATTTGAAAAGAATTTCGTGCGGTCCTGCCAGAGCTTTGATCACCGCGGTAATAACTTCCTTGCAAATTTGCAAACAGCGTGGTGCCGACTTGGCAGCTGCTCTGAGCTGCTGGAAATCTGTTAGGACTCCCTGAAGATCGCCTTTACTTAGAATCAGCTATGCAAGCCTTTTCATTTCAGCCGGTCCACTGGTGTTTTTAAAAGGTTTTATTTACATCCAAAACTCATGCACTGTAAGTGGAGGTGCAGCACCAGTTTCATACCAGCCGATGCTTCAGAATAACTGCAACAACTGCCCAGAGAACAGCAGGACGGCAGCTTCACAGCAACCTGAAGCTCTTTTGCTCATCTCCAGTGTTTCCCGACTCGGACTTATTCTTACTAAAGGCAATAATAACTCTTTGCCTTAACACTATGCAGACCAGCTGCTCTTCAGTGTCAGTCACCAACCAGAAACTCAATTTTGAGCCAGTAATGATCCCAGTTTATTGGTAAAGGTGGTTAGAAAACAGACAGTTTCACTGTTTAGAAATGAAAAAGCCAAGATCACAAATAGCTCACTGCAGAATGGTTGAGATTCAGAGAAGCTCATTTACAGAGTAAGCAGTGTCACCTTCATCATGTCCTTAAATAAAGCTGTGAGTCATTATAGAGGCTTCATGGTGCCTGTATTTGTACAGTGCTTTACACAACCAGTCACCCACCCAGTCACACACTGGTGATGGCAGCTACATTGTAGCCACAGCACTGACAGAGGCGAGGCTGCCGGACACTGGCGCCACCGGGCCCTCTGACCACCACCAGTAGGCAACGGGTGAAGTGTCTTGCCCAAGGACACAACGACCGAGACTGTCGGAGCCGGGGCTCGAACCGGCAACCTTCCAGCTACAAGACGCACTACCAACTGTTGCCACAAACTGCCAACACATAAGTGCTACTTGTGTGTGAAATGGGGGCGATCGTGGCTCAAGAGTTGGCGGCTCGTCTTGTAATGGGAAGGTTGCCGGTTCGAGCCCCGGCTCCGACAGTCGTGGCCGTTGTGTCCTTTGTGAAACGTCTTATCGAAGATCTCCATGAACACATTTATATCCTCTCAAATGCATCTTGGGCTGTTCTTGTTTTTGCAGGAGGGGGCTCTTATGGTTTTAGTTTAAGTGGATCTTCCACTCAAACTAAAGTACATTTGATCTTGTAATAACAGGGCAGACCCCGAGGCTCATGTAGGTCCTCATCCCACACGTTAAAGCCGAGCAGCTGTGACGACTCCCTTCACCTCCAGTCCAGCCAGTAAGAGTGGTTTCTTCGGGGTTACCCAGCAGTGAAGCTTCACGTGCACGCACGCAAAAACTAACATTTTCAAGTGAACCCAGGCAGAGCAGCTTTATTTTTAGAACCAAAAACATGCAAGAGAAGCACAAACAAGACAAGTATGCACAGATGTTCAACCAAAACTAAAATTATAACTCAGCAACCCCCTCGAGATAAAATTACAGAGAAAACACCACGGCAAGGACTCCACAAAAAAACTGAACACCCACAAGAGAAGCGAGGCCAGTCGTGACGTGCAAGCTGCTCGCACAGAGCTGTGGAGTGGAAGTCATTTCCTCTAAACAAACAGGAGGGGTGGGAGTCGTAATCACAGGCGGGGGAGGCGGGGGAGGCCACACGTCTGAGCAGATGAGACCCGGCTTTGATCCTGCGGATGTGAGGGTCGTCTCAGTCAGGCGTCATTTCACAGACCTCCACCGTATGTCCACGATACCGAGGAGGAGAGCATTAGAAATCAATAAGCTTCCAGAAATATCTTTTTTCTCTCATCTTCAGTTTATTCTTATGAAAATATGAAACAAGCTCCCTGCAGTGAAGTAAAGAACGCCTGAGCTGTTAGAGACACCGAGATGACCCTTTAACCACCTTAAGGTTAGTGAATGACTCGCTAACCCCCAAACCCCATTAAAGCTGTTAATCAGTGCTACAAACAGCAAAGCAGCAGCTTTGAGAAGCGACTTTGCAGAAAGTGTGATGCTTTCTGCAAAGCCACAAAATGCGAGGCATGCGGGCCCTGAAGGAATGCTTTGTGTGGCCTCCTGGATAATAAGTGCAGATTTCATCCAAGTGTAGACAAGTGGATCTTAAGATATGCAACAACTCCACAGTGGAAGCTTCACAAGGCCATTAGTCTTCCTCTTCACATATCAATTCCCCAGTGCTTCATCTGTACTGAAGAGTGGAAAGGCCTGTGAGCCAGGAGAGGATGAGGAGCCCTCTGTTTGACCCCAGCTCTTCACCAGCACAATGGGGACTCCCATCCAGGTCTGAGCCCCCCCGCATGAAAACAGGTAGCTAAGAAGGAAACGTGTCCAACACTAGTTTCATTTGGCAGCATTTCGGGGTTGCTGAGTGACCTTTAGAGCTCCACGGAGACTCTTTTGTTAAGAGCTCATCACGCACTGCGCTACGAGGACGCGGCTGTGGAAACAGTGCCACGAAAGACATTTCTGCGTTCTCGCGCTTGAGCTAAAGGTGTCCGCGAGCCTGTGGTGACACCTGACTTACTCTGAATCCGAGCGAAGGCGGCTCACTGTGGATTTAATCGCGAGTTTAATGAAACTGGTCTCGAGGGGCGAATCCCCCTGAAAACCTCCGCCGTCCCTCGCCTCCGGTTCCCCGCTCTTGGAGCTCAAAGTTCAGCCTCATAACACCTGCGCAGCGCAGACGGAAGTGGAAAAAAAACAGCGCCAGATTACCTGAAGGACTCCCAAACACCAGCTGACTTTAAATATAATCCAGCTTAACCAGCAGCGCTTCATGGGATTGTCTCGTCTGCTCGCTGCAGGACCACCTGGCCGACAACACGCACCGAAGACACGCTCAACTTACGTAATTAATTAAGCAGAGGGCTCGTGCACGCTTACACGCGCCCACAGAGACACCTGGGAGAACTGAAGCACGTTAAAACACACTTTGTCTTAGCAAAAGCGACCTTAACTTACCCCACGCTAACGCTTCCCGGGCCCCTTTGGAGGTGCAGCTCCTTTCCTCGGACTCCTTTCTGTGCTCGGGGTCGGAGTCTCGCAGGGTAAAAGCTGGGTGATGCGTTAACTTTGCGCAAAAGTGTGCAAAGCTCCAGTCTGTGCCCGCCGCACACGGTACGTCCCCTCTGCGCCAGCAGCAGCAGCCTCTTTGTACTTGTCCGCTCGTGCCTGGGCTCCAAGTTAACCCGCGGTCATGCGCAGTCGGTGCCCTCCCAGGAGCCCAGTCTGAGCTGATGTGAAGGTCAGTTAGAGGCACAGGTGTTGCTTTACCTGCGCACAGGGCTCGGCCTACTTACACTAGCTGAGTCACGAAGAGCAAACAGCGCGCTCCGGACTCACCTTAAAACTCAGGTAAACGTGTAGGTTAATGCAGTTAGCACGTCGTTTGCTAACCAGTGTCTACACGTTGTGTCGTAAAACTGTGACCACACCGGGGAGAAAAAGACATGTACGTTACAAAGTTAAAGTTTTGTAGTTTTAACTTACTATAACTAACCAAGATGTTTCTCTTCCGCGATACAATATAGAGCTCGGGACGATAGATGGAAGCGGTTTCAGTTGGCGCATTAATATCAAGTGTTCTTAATTGTTCTGTGTCGGATAATCTTATCGGGGCTCATTTTTTACGGGCTTTAAAATACTTACACTTTTAAATGAACCTAAATATTTAACGCAGACACACGAATACCTACATGTACATAAAAATGATCATTCAAAGAAACATGATGACAACAAGTTTCAGAAACGCATCCTCACTGCTTTGGACAGTCAGCGTCCCGCCGGAGGCTGCGTTTGCCCGACAGCGCCATCTGGTGACCAGTGGCGTTAACAGCAAAGAGAAGCCAAACTGCCTGAATCTAATGTGGTCTGTGGAATAAACACGCAGCACTGACAGCTGACTGTTTACCTTCATTGCACATTTAAAACCAACGTCTTTATTTTGTTTTCATTAGAGAAAACAAATGTAATTAGACCTGATATAGATCTACTATTTGAACGGCTACTGTTGGCACATCTTTGTGCGCAAAACAGTTCCTACAATAGCACAAACCACAGTTTACAAATGAGTGAGTACACGGACGTGTGTCTACACACAGAGCAATTTGGTCTCACCTAAAACTATTTCTCAAATGGTAAGTATCAAAATTTGAATAAATGCTGATAATTACGCGTCAAATGTTAATTAAATGTATATAAATCGGATCGTTTTCACCTTTAAACGCTTCCTGTGCTGCAGGACAAACGTCTACACTATCACAGATTGTTTAAAAAAAAAAAACCGCACATATGACGTCACATATGTGTGTGTGCGTGTGTGGGGGGGCACTTTTCACGCTACCCGACCCACAAATGTAAGCTGCGTTTAAGTGCTAGTGCAGAACTGGGACATCTGGCCTTCATGGGACTCTCCTTTTTTTTTTTTTTATTAGTAAAGCGATGTTTTGTTGTGTTTTTTTTCTCACTCTTCGACTACAAAACCTATATCTGTCAATCACAGCCTTCATATGGAAGCCCAAGAAAGTTAACATATGGTTTAATGTGCTGCTGATGCTACTGGTTGGATGCTGGACGCAGCTGCAGGCAGGAGAACATCTCTGAAGTGAGTTCATGCTCAGTAATCTATTGAATATGTGGGATATAGATATAATCCCGGTCATCTTTGATAACAGCCGACTGGCTCGGAGAGCTTAAGGACTATTAAACAGTCAGTCATCTTTATCACTTGAGATTCAGAGATAAAGTTTTAGTAGATTTTTATAAAAGTGTGTTTGCTGTTGCTGAACTGTCAGTGTTTTGTCTCATCACCAAGTAAACAGCTCAGTTAGATAAAGCCTGGAGATGGTGATGAGCTCCTAGTGTTTGTTTCCAGTTTTAAGCTTGCAGAGATCATTTTTGCTTGAAGTACTTTGAGGTCACAGAGCTCGTCAGCAGTGAAGTTTACTGTATGTTACAGAGCCACGTGAGATTAAAGGCTGAAAGGTTAAAGACAGAATGCTTCATCTGACTCTTTTCATTACACTTAAGTCAGGTAAAGCATACACAGTCTGCCCTGAGTGAAAATCAATTATTATGAGTTATATTTGTGTTGAGATTCAGTGAGTTTATTCCACTGCACTGAACTGAAAAGCAGATTTACGGGTCTGAAATGTCACCAGTGTTTCTCTGTGAAGCAACGATTCAACATACAGGTATGTTTGAGCTGTTCCCATATCTTTATCTTCTGACAGCGTGACCCCAGATACATGTTAGTACATGGGAAACTGTTTTGTGGAAGATCAGATTTCCTCCATGGTTTTGATTCGGTCTCTTCTAAACTACACAAACATCCTTGTGTTTCCGTGTGTGCGTGCAAACGAGCGCACATGTTGGATTTTATTGAATGTGCAGCTTGGTCACATTTTGCCTTTCTTCCTCGGTTTTATTGAAACACATGATGGACAGCTTGCTTGTGTGTCTTCAGCGGTATGTGGTAAAAACGGTTTTCAGCTCCATTGCAGCATCTTCAAGTGTCACAGTCGCACTGAAGTGTTCAAGAGGAAGGTGAGACTTTCTTACAATAAGTAGGACATGACAGCATTGGAGTGACTTTTAGAAAAATCTTTCAACCTCAGCGTTAAAACACTGCAGACGTCATTAAAACTGTTCTAATGGAAGCTCATCGTACTGCCACACACTGGACATGAGCACTACTGTCTCTGCACTGGCTTGTTTTAGCCTCTTCGCCCTGACTCACAGCATGTTGTACAGTTTCATGTTTGCATGAAGCATTTTCATTTGACTCGGTGTTTTCTGCATGCTGGAGTTTCAGGAGTTCAGATCCTCACTCCCACGCTTCTGTTCGACCTGATGGTTTTATGACTTCAGCTGATTTGCACAAGTTATGAAATGAGGTATGAAATGAGCATGCGAGCGTCTCTGGAGCCACTAATCTTTCCAAAGAGAAAATCCAGGGCAACGCGCTGAAAAGTTCGTGTGCGCAAGAGGAATGTAAACGCTGACTATTGTGCGCAGAAACAATGCGTGTCCGCACTCCTCGTATCTGTGTCGGGCTGTCGCTCTCAGGGAACAAAAGTCTGGACTCGGGCTTGTGCAGCTCTCTTTGTTCTGCTCACATCCTTGTGTTTGTAACACTATCGTGTCATCGCTGCAGCGCTCAGTGTGCACAGCGGGGCCACACCTCTCCGCTACATACACTCCCCCCACGGCTGTCCACGCGCAGTTCCGCGTTGCTGCCGCATTTAAATCCTGCAGAGTTTCCTCAAACCCGCAGTTCCAGCGACTCAGCGGCACCATGTCCGACAGCAGCACCTTCGACACCAACGTGGTCACCATGACCCGCTTCGTCATGGAGCAGGGCAGGAAGGCCAAAGGCACGGGGGAGCTGACCACGCTGCTCAACTCGCTGTGCACGGCGGTGAAGGCCATCTCCAGCGCTGTGCGCAAAGCTGGGATCGCCCACCTGTGAGTGAGCCACGTTACACACGCCGTT